ACTGACCTGACCTTGCGTACGCATGCCTTCATCCGGTAACGTAAAGGAAGATGCTTGTCTAGCAAAACCCGCGCGTGCTTCCAGAAAGACCCTGTCGCTTTGCGAAGCCGGTTTTCGACCATCTTGTCTGTCGTCCCATCCCTGCACACTGTCCCGCCTAACATGTCAATATGGTCGACGGCCGGCACCTCTATCTCGACGCTGTCCTGGAAAATGGGGAAAGCGAGTGCACCGACTGGCCCGTTGCTGCCCATGTACTCCAAACTGCTTGGCTTCCAGCGCAGGCCGCTCCCGTTCAAGGCACTCGCGCACTCCTGGGACATCAGGTGCGTTTCAGAAATGCTTTTCCCGAAGATGTACAAATTGTCCGACCATACGGCGTGCGTGATATAAGAGCCGTCTTCCAGGCATACGCCAAGCCCTCGACTTTCCCAAGATTGTACAAATGGGCTTAATATTTTGCGGATGACGCAATTCCACAGAAACGGTGCATCAGACCCTCCCTGCTTGATGGACTTGTTATAGCAGAACGAAGATTCAGCACGCTGTCCATCGAAGATGGGCCAAGCCTCCATCGCCGTAAGCTCCTGGAGTACCGCTGCGCCAATTGCTGGGTGCACGCCCCAAAACTCGAAGCTCTCCTCCACCGCCTGGACGGTCAAGTTGTCAAACGCCGAACGCACGTCACCAATAAAAATGTGGACCTCCACATCCCCGCTCCACTCAGTCGCTTTTTGGAACAGGCACGTCAAGGATAGCAGTAGCTGTTCCACTTTGTGCTCCGCCTCGTAAGCGAAAGTAAAGACTGAATGCCACAGACGACCGTGCCTTTTCAATATGTCCCAGCGGAGGAGTTGCAGTAGCCCGTTCATGTACCACTTCGAGAATGCGCTCAGCATGCACACGTCCCTGAATTCCGCAAGCGACGTCGCGTCCGCGACCTTCGGCAGCATTACCAAGACCAGTGTCCTCCATGAGGGAATGTCTTCAACGTATCGGCCAAGGTACCGGTCCACGAAGCACGAGTGCACCAACATCACCGCAGTTACTGATAAACTGTTCAACATCTCGCCCACGAGCTCCTCTCCTCCGCCTGGAGCCTTTCCCGGTTTCAGCCGGGATCGAGCCGACATGGTGGTGCCGAAACTCCAACTCGGAGGCGGGCCCCCTCCCAAATGGGCCTCCTGTTGCCGGCAACGCCATCTGTGGATCCTCTGCATCTGGTGGGCCGTGGTCTCCTTCGGATCGTGGTGCTTGCCGTTGCAGTGCCGCATGACTTCGGCTTGCCACTTCTCCCGATCTGCTGTCATAGCCCCGTTGCACTCCAGCTCGATCGTCGGGTGTTTGGTTGTCTCGTCGTAGCTCGCCTCCAGGTGCATGTCTGCCTTGGCCTTGATCCTCTGGAGCTTGATGCTTCGTTCGAGCTTGCGTAATCGTTTCTTCTCGTCGGCGTCCGTGGCGCACTTTATCCTGTTGACAACATCGTGCAATTCATCCGGCCTCTGCTTGGATACTTGCTTCTTGATGCCCCTTGTCGTGTGGTCGACCTCCTTGGCCCGTTTCTCGCACGACTCCCGTATCTCATCCAAGGACGGTTCGCCGCACAGCTCACCAGGCTTGCCCCAACAATGGCTCATGTCCTCCATCACTTTCGAAGCAAACTGGACTGAGGCTGCCCCATCCTTCGGGGCCCATTGTTTCATGGAAGGCCAGTGCTCCTCTCTCCTCTTCCAGAACGATCCCGGGGTGTTGATCTTGACATGCACTGGATAATGATCACTCCGAAGTACTCGTTGCTGGCCCACGTAGCTAGTGCTGGTCGCCTGCGTTGAAACCAAGACGTAATCGATTTGAGTCCCTCGCACCCGGTTCTGGCCCAGGGGAGCCCTTGTCAACCACCACTGGCGCTCGGGTTCATCAAGCCACGTGTTCACTACGCGCAATCCATACTCTGAGCATAATCCGGTCCATAACCCCACCTTCTCCATCACATCAGCACTCCTGCTAGAAGCCACACCACATGACTGAGGTCCTGTATGAGGATGAACTTCTGGCAGCTGTACGTTCAGATCTCCACCCAAGAAGATCCGCTTGAATACAATCTGCCTCGCTTTGCTTATCAACTCCTCCACCTCCCGGACATGTTCCTCGTACTCGGACAGAGGACGAGTACTGTCCAGTAAATACATGCTAATACATAAAACTTCATGTATAAGATGACAGCCACACTGTTCCCACGAGTGTCGGCCCAGCGCAAAGAGGTCGACAGGGATGGCGAAATCAGTATGGCAGCTGGGCAGCCCAAGTGGTGAATGAGCCTCCAGCCAAGCACATGCACGTCATGAGGCCATCCCCTGACCTCCTGTAGTAACATAACATTAGTGTCGCCCATGGCAGGCGACAATTGCTCTATCACCTCGCCCGCAAAATCGAAGTTGATGCGATTGGCATTCCAACTTACTCCCCACAGCGGGCCGGGTGAACATGTCCTCCTCCGTAA